CCTCCCTCCCTCCCTCCCTCCCTCCCTCCTTCCCTCTCTCTCCTCCCTCCCTCCTTCTCTTCTCTCCCTCCCTCCCTTCCTCTCTCCCTCCCTCCATTTCTCTTTCTTTCTTGTATATAAGATTATGGCTGGGAAACAAATTGATGAGTGGACAATGAAAATGTGTTATATTTATACAATGGAATATTACTGAGTTGTTATAAAAAATGAAATCATGAAATTTGCAGGTAAATGGATGGAGCTGGAAATCATTCCGATTTTTAGATCCAGAAAAACAAATGTACACATTTACTTTTATCTGTAGATGTTAGTTTTGATCTTCAGATATGCATATTTCATTTGAAATACCACAGGGGTCAGGAAATTATTAAAGGGTCATTGTGTGGGAACCTTCAAGGGAAAAAAGAAAACTCACTGGTATAAAGGGTTAAGGGGAATAACAGAATAGGAAAGGCTAAAGTAGGGATGGGGATAAGGAGGCAGGATTAGGTGGGAATACAGGGAGGAATAGACAACACTAGTCATTTGGAAACCTGTTATGGTAGAAGCTCCCTAAAATATATGGATTCGCAGCAATAAAAAGAGTTAAAATGAAGCTGACCTTTACTGTGGTAACAATGCCCCTATCGAATATCATTAGCTCACAAGCAAAAACCCAATGTCAGCAATGGGTTGCATCTTTTATAGTTATTGGCCAGTGAGATCTCCAAAATGTTACTGTGAGACCTGTTTGCTGAAGATACCATATACTTGTGTCATAGAACATGCTACTCACCTGGAAGCTTCTTTCCCTGTGGGCTAGTTTTCCCAGGTGGGAAATTGCTTTTCACACTACTCGAGGAGAAAACCAAGCATCATTCACTTAGATGTAAACCCTGAGAGCTACAATAATGATTGACATGGAAACAACACACACACACACACACACACACACACACACACACACACACACACACACACTGGAACAACAGTGACACTAACAGTAACCAGACACTTTCTGATTGGACGTAAGTCCCAACGTACAAGTTAAAACCCATACCTGGCACCATCATCAGGGTAAGAATCTATGGCAAGACAGGTTATATAGGCCCTACAGGAGAACCTGCTACCGTAATTCTGCTAAGGATACATAGTGTTAGACTGACTTCTAATGATTTATTGTTATACCTACACATCAATGCATCTCTTAATTCTTATCAAGAAGCTTCTGTTTGCAGTAAATATTGAATAACAGGGACTCCCAACTGGCATAGGTGCAAGAATAAGGAACTAGGGAATGCTCATCCTCAAATGGGGCATCTATATCACACTTGCTCCTTCCAAGGCTCAGGGATCATCATAAAAACATGTGGAGGAAAGCTTGCAAGAACGGTAAGAGGTGGTGAATGGTTACAAGGAAGCAGTGTTTCCCAGACACATAAGTGTGTTTGCATACGATCTCACAGCAGTTGTGACAATGCACATGAAAGCTGCTGAAGATCAAGCCACACACAATCCCAGCATGGAGAGGGGAGATGGACAGGAAGTCCCATCCCTAGCTAAGGAGGTAT